GAAACTAGCTGAACTAAGGTCTATTGGTTGAGACACATTGAAGAGACGGATCACGTTTTGTTCTAGGACATTAAATCCATCAGCAGTGACCCCACTGGTGATTTCTGAAGAGTGTACGTGTCTGAGAAACGATGGTTGTTACCAAGTGGCTGAATAGGACTACAGAAGTCGTGGAGGCCGTTGTACGTCATTACGCCGAACACGTAAACACTCCTCGCAAGTCCCTGCCTCCTGCAGACTGTTCAAACAAACGCTTCAACTCGTTCCATCTAGAATCTGTGTGTTTGAATATGGATCTGAAGTTGGCGTGACGTTGAAGTCGTGCTGCTGGACTCGGCTGACCCTGCAATGCTAACGTGATGCTATAAAGGAACTCCTTTATAGCATCACGTTAGCATTGCAGGGTCGAACTACAGAAACACGTCATCACTGCACCACTCTATACAATACAGCTTTATTTATAAAGCACTTCAAAACCTCCAGACCAAAGTGCTGTACAGCCAAACAAAGAAACAAACATCACAAGTAAAAACAATAGACAATTTAAACACAACCCAAACACCAGGAGGAACACAGCAATAGAGGCGGGGCACCAACCTGGAGAGCACTCTGATTGGCTCCCGCTGGACGATGGTAATGTCGGGGTCTGAGGGGAGGGGGGGGACGCTCTGAAACTCTGAGGGCAGGAAGAAGGACGTCCGCACGACTTCCTGCATCGAGAGGCCGTCAGCTGACACCTCGGTAACCACGGGAACCGTCAGACCCAGGAACCGCCCTGAAGATCATATAATGACATTACATTGCATTTAGCTGACGCTTTTATCCAAAGAGACTTACATTAAGTGCATTCGACCAGGAAGATACAAACTTGAAGAAAACAGAATCATATAAGTACATCAGGTTTCATAGAGCCAAACATTTCAAGTGCTACTCAGCTGGCTTTAGATAAGCCAGCCCTTTATTAGTATAGAAGTGCTTTGTTAGTAATTCTATCTCTCGAAGTGGAGTCCAAAGAGATGAGTTTTCAGTCTGCGCCGGAAGAGATATATTAATATAATAATATAATATAAAGTATAATAATATAGTATTTAATAACCTGTGGAGTTCTCCCTGCAGATGTAGCGCATTAGCTTCATGAAGCTAACAGAGACGCTCTGCTCGAACAGTTTTTCCCCGGCTGAAACACAGGCCCACTGACCGGGGGGGATCAGCCTCTCCTCGAACTGCACCTCCCCCATCTGAGGAGATAGAGGGGGTTAGGTTCTCCTTTAGGGAACACTGCACCTCCTTTAGGGAACACTAGGGAACACTGGACCTCCTTTAGGGAACACTGGACCTCCTTTAGGGAACACTAGGGAACACTGGACCTCCTCTAGATTTACTAGCTAAGTGTGTTAGGTCTAACTCTCAGTGTATTTTGGTCCGCTCAACGGTCCGTCACAGCGGCGGAGCTGTGATCATTCAGAGCTGCGTGTTCTCCGTCAGCAGCAGCTGATCTGATCTCTGATCCCTCTCTCGCGTCCGGTTAGACTTCACTCGCGTCTAAGTCCAAATCTATCAGATCTAGCTAGTTCTAGTTAATTATATGACTGCCTACTTTTCAAAAGACCTAAACAATAAGCGTGTGGTCGCAATGGCGTGTGGCCGCAAAGTTTGGAGCAGCGTTATGCATATGTTTATATGAGGGGTCAAAATCCCATGCTCAGAAAATGCTCCTATATTTTGTTCTCTTCATTCCCCACGCCCCAAAATAAATAAATATACACATTTGAGGAAAAGTAACGACGTTTGAGCAGTGTGGGTTTTATATGAACAGAGTTACACATATTTCAACGTGAAGTGTAATAACTGCAGGTGCCTCCGTCAGAATGACAAAGGTCCTCAGTGAAGCTCAAGCCCATGTTTCACACTATATTGTACAACTTATTAAAAAGATCAGTTCAATGCAACTAATGTCGTCTTAGTGTTATTGCATGATGTTAAAATTGGTTTGCCATGAATTTAGTGATGGATTCTAAACATTTGAAATGTAGCATTTAAGAGTTTCTCAGTTAGAAGGTTGTTGTTTTAATAAATCAGACTCTGATGGTGCAGCGCTACTGTACCTCTTTTTATAGGCATTTTTTCCTTAACAAATTGTTTTTGCGCTGATCAGGGGGCACTTGGCTGAATTTCTTTTTCAAAGGGGGAACATGATTGAAAAAGGTTTGAGAACCACTGCTCTAGGGAACACTGGACCTCCTTTAGGGAACACTGCACCTCCTTTAGGGAACACTGGATCCTCCTTTAGGGAACACTGCACCTCCTTTAGGGAACACTGCACCTCCTTTAGGGAACACTGGATCCTCCTTTAGGGAACACTGCACCTCCTTTAGGGAACACTGCACCTCCTTTAGGGAACACTGCACCTTCTTTAGGG